CTCTCTTTTTATTTTGCTTTCTCCCTGCTGGGGAGTTTGGATAGAGGCGGGAGGGGGGATTACTGAAAAAGGAGATTGAGGGGGGGAATTGCCCAATTCCTCGCACGCCGCCAGCGCGCCTGTTGCTCGCTGATACGGCCGCTCCGGGGTTTATCTGCCGGCGGCGGAGCTCGGCCCGCGCCCTCCGCGGCTGCCGGCGCCCCGCTCCGCTCGGCGGGCGGCCAGGGGCCGGGGGCTGCACGGGGGCCGGGGGCTGCACGGGGGCCCTTCGCTGCCCTGCGCCGCCCGGGGATACGGCCGGGTCCATGCTGGGGGCGGGAGGCTCCCACTTCCCCGTGGAAAAGGATCTAATGCGCGGCATCGCCCGTTAAGGTCACCATGGCTGACAGAGCTGCTGCTGAAAGGGCTTGTAAGGACCCCAACCCTATCATCGATGGCAGGAAAGCCAACGTGAACCTGGCGTACCTGGGTGCAAAGCCGCGGATAATGCAGCCAGGTGAGGAAGCAGCGCCCAATGGCTTTTGTCTCCATACCTCAGGTTTCTGAAGAGAGTAAAACTTCAAAAAAGGTAGTGCTGCCCTCCACCTTCCTGAAGTGCGCACACAGTTGGGCGTGCTTTGGTTTTGATTTTTAAACGCAGTTTGTAGTAACTTTCTGGCTATTTTGCACATGTGCTGTATTTAAAAAACAAAAGCAACAGAGATAAAATTTCCACAGCTCAGACACTTCATTGGTTATTCCTGCTGCTGGGAATGTGGTGACCATTTACAGTATCGTTGCAGGGTAAGATTGGCCTAGGAATGAATTGCTTCCAGTGTGTGCAGTCTTATTAATACAAACAGTATCTTAAAGCAAACTTCTCAAGCAGATGGGAGCTATTATGCAGATTTTGAAATTAAATAGCTCTTCTTAAGACCACATCTGAGACAATCTGATGTCCTAGCCACTTCCCAGACTACTGCTTTGCAGCAAGAGTGAGAGGAGCAAGGAGTGTGTGCATGTTTGTGCCCTGAAGGAGGCCACTCTGAATTCCCCCGTGTATAGCCTGATGAACACTTGTGCCCACCAAGAAAAGACAGAGTTTATGCTTGGGTGTTTGAAGAACAGAAACGAAGTTGGGATTTGATCCCCTGTGCAAAGTCCTCACGAGTAGAGGTGACACAAATTTTAAGTCTCTAGAAATTACACAAATACACTGGAGGAATGGAAAGTACCATGTAATCCTTCATGGGCTAAAGTTAGGACCAGAATGGAGCATCAAGTAAAATGTGAATGAAAACCCTGTGCTTCTTTAGAAAAAGTATTTTTCCTAAACATCTCTAGGAAAGTGTGTGCTTTAGTGGTTTAAGTTCTGTTTGCATATGTGTGCGTTTGTGTGTGTTTGATACATTTTGCTTTCTAATTTTTAGTTCTAGAGCCTTTCAGACTTTGTTACTGAAGGCTGTTAGAGAAGGCTCTTACTCTCTGTTTTGTGTGTGTGTGTGTGTGTATAGCATATATAAGTGGCCAAAAAAACACCCAAAGAATGTGATGTGTTTTTGTTGGTAGGTTTTGCCTTTGGTGTCCAGCAGCTTCATCCAGCTCTCATACAGAGGCCTTTCGGGTAAGTCTGTTCACTGGGACCTCAAACAGGGGAGGAAAAAAAAGATTAAATGAAAAAAGGAATGAAAAGAATGATTATTGAAGGCCTCTTGCAGCAGCATCCTTAAAGCTGGCCAGCAAGCTGAACCTCTCAGATTTATGAATGTATACCCATAAATGTGCTCACCTTGTTGGTCATGTTCTAAATGCTGCAGCTGAGTCAAGTTGTGTGGGACGTGGCCCTCYGACTAAGCAGTCCAGTCCCATATGACCCTATGATAAAACAAGGAGGTATGACTTGATGCAAGATTGCTGTGCCCCATTTCTCTTTTCTCAGCTTGACTCAATGTTATTTATCTCTTTCTAATCTGACAGGGATCGTTTTCAGTTAAGATAACTGATCAGAAGGATATGATGATAAGAGGTGGAATAGTTCTGTTTGGAATTAAACTCTGTAACCAGTAGACTCAAACACAAACAAGCTAAAATGGTGATTAACGATGCATGTATGTTTTTTCATATAGTCAATAGACCTCCGTGTGCTTTTTTTTATTTATTACAGTAATGAAGTGGTGTTGATAGCTAAACTGTGTGCTTTTATTTAATTGAAGGGCTGTAGTGAAAGTTTTTTTTTTGGGGGGGGGGGGTCTTTTTAATTTTGGTTTTGTTGTTGAGGAGTGACTTTGCCATGGGGAGCAAAGGGCCTTTTTTTCCTTGCTTTCAAGCTGTAGCCTGTGACTTTCTTAACCGTATTTTGTAGTGAGTGCTAAATTGTGTGACTTCTTGATTTTTAAGTAAATCAACGTATTGCTTGCATGTTCATAATTTTTTGGGGGGGTGTTCTTGGAAAGGGTGTGGAGCTCCTTATTAACGATGTGCGTCCATTTGGGCTTTCTAATTTGAGGGTTTTTTTTTTCTTCAATCAGTCTTTAATATATAGCACACTTCTCCTCAATTTGAGTATAAACTATTCTTAAGTGGATCTAACTCTCGCTTTCTGTAGGCATTTCATTAGGAGGTGAAGTCTGCCTTAAGCTTTCCATAGAGTGTCACTTCACTAATGAACACTGACTGAGAAACTCATTGCAAAATAGTGCATTTTGCTAATCAATGCATAAGCTAACAATAAAGTAGGGAAAACATGTCACAAATGTATTTTGTTTATTTGATTAGAATATTTTTAGAATATCATACATATCTTTTATGAATCAMCAAGAGCTTCTCGGTAATTTGATTTGTCAGAATGCAAGGAAACAGTTCCTATCCTGAAAAYGACAGGAAAAAGTTCCTAGAAACTTCATGTAATTTTAAAAGGGAGTGTTAATTCTTCTGAGAGTGGGGAGGCTGTAAAAGACTTCATGTCTTTTTTTACCTTCTGATGATTATCCTCTAGTGTATGTTGCTTGCTCTTTGAAGTGTGAGGAGATGACAGAGTGTGTATGCAGCAATCATTTTATGATGCCTGCACTAAGGTAGGCAGGAGGTAGAACACCTCCAGAGCTGTTAAAACACTTGTTGAAAAGGGAACTACTGAATTGTGCAGGGATCAGCTGTGCAGAGACTGAGTATTTGCTGAGYACAACAGAAAAGGAGGACCAGTGGCAGTCCATTGCTTAAAGGACTGTGCAAATGTAGGAGTCTTTCCTGCTTTCCTTACCTAGAGCCAACGATAGATCATGTAAACCATGTTTAGGTCAGGGAAATCCTTCYAGCAAGCTGAATAAGGTTGTATTTCTAATGCACTGCACATAAATTTGAAGGAATGTTGGTCTCAGAATCATGTATAATATGAAATTGGTAATTTTTCATCCTTTTGCAATCCAAAAGGCTCTTGCATTTCTTTTAGTATGTGTAAACAACAGAGATTACTCATCCTGCTTCCTCCTCAAAACTTCCAGTGACCTGTACCTTTATCTAAAGCATGTAGTTCAGATTAAGAAGAACAGCATTCATTAGGATAAATKAACATCTTCATTTACTTCACTGACAGTGAGGGGATGTTTCAGTGCTTATTTGAATCTCCTTCCGTTGAAGAGTTCACTCTTAGAGGTTGCTACATGGATTGCACTGAAATACATGGTCACCTTGAAGCCTGTGCAGTTGCACTTTTGAAGTACACGTCACTGATGTGCTGCATAAAGCAGGTTGTAGTGGTGATTCTCTACCAGCACTCAACTAATCCATACACAAAAGCTTCAAATGTTTTGTGATTGAGTTTTGGGTTTTTTTCCTAACCGGGTGCCTATTAGTGAGGTACTGCSATATTTTGGTATGATCAGCTATGTTTTAGAATCACAGAAGCATAGAATGTCGTGGGTTGGAAGGGACCTTAAAGATCATGTTGTTCCAACCCTTGTCATGGACAGGGACACCTTTCCCTAAACGAGGTTGCTCAGAGCTCCATCCAGCCAGGCCTTGAACACTTCCAGAGACTGGGCATCCACAACATAAGGTTTCCCATCTATCAAATAATAAAATAATTTTATTCTGTTACATTACTTTTACTGAGATGTAGAAGGTCAATATTGTGACTTAAGTACAACACTGTTGTAGTGGAGGGAGACAGAAACTAAATTAGCTTCACGTATGACGCATTTAAAATGCAGGCAAGTTTTCTTTTGTTCGGTGCTGCAGATATCAGTTCATCCACTAAGTAACATTTCTYCCTGCTTGTTCCATTCAGCATCTCTCTTACTGTTGGTGTGCTCCATAGAAAGCTGTTTGATYATGGGACTGGTTATTTATACAGCCTTATTTTCAGAATTGTTTATTAAAATACTATCTCTGAATTTAACAGGAATTTATGGAGGGGGAGGATGACTTTGCTTCCCAATATAGTTTTTCTTGTTTTGCTAATGTAATTTTTAYTTTCATATTGGTGGGAAAATTCGGGGTTATACAGAGATACTGGTGTAGGACGTAACTATTGTGGAGATTTTTTTTCTTTATTTTCTTTCATAAAACCTGTACTTTGATCAAAATTAAAACGTTCCCACTGTTCCCATTCTTGTAGGACCAGAGTTAAATCCAAACTTATGAAGTTCATTATCAAATAGTTAGCTGATACGACATGCTTGATATCTTCCAAGAGTTAGGCAAATCTGCCTTTCTTAAGAGAGAAGGAAAAGCCCCCTCTTGAGTTTGTGATCAGAAGACCTGTATAATACCAGACTACAGATAGTCTGAAAAGAGGGAATGAAGCTGGAACAGTCAGAATTTAGCCTGCTGTTATGTCCTTTTTGTGGTTATCGGATAAAAGGAAACATAGTAAGGGTTTTGTATGCTTAATGTTTATGTAACCTGTTTCTGTTAAAAGGAAGGCTGTTCATTGGTGAAAATCTACTCTTTAATTATGCTTACAAAAGCAGACAATGCCATGCAAGGGCCAAAGCAAAGCATTTTGTTCAGAATTAAGTACCTACTTTTGTGAGAATGTAACGCTGGGAGTTAAAGTCCCTTCTCTCCTTTGAAATTATTGTTGCTTATAGGATTATTTTTGAGATCTTCAGTTCAACATAAATCTTCTGTTATAACAACAAAGAAGGTCTTAAGACATGTGGCAGGGGTGTAGGTCATTGMAATTTGAGCATCTCAAAGCTACAGTTACTGCTAAAGTTAAACATGCCTTCCATTTTATGCAAAAGCATAAAACAGTAAATACACATTCCAAAATAAAAACTGCTGCCAGGAAAGAGAGGTTAAATCCTGTGCATTTCTCACATTATTACTCTCAAAAGTAAAGCAGCAGTTTTTATTTAAAATTAAGAATATTAAGGATTTCCAGCGTAACTGGGAATTGCTTTTTCAGCTTTTGACCTGGCAGAGCATGAAAAGCAGTTGGGTTCTGAATGGCTGAGATCTTCATGTCCTGGCCTCTGCAGTAGGTAGAAATTTACTTTGGCCATATAAAGCCATTTTACTTGACTCAAAACAGTTGTAGCATGACAGATGATCAAAAATAGCCCCACTGCAGCTTATGCTGTCAATCATCATGTGTGAAATGGCATGGTGGAGAGGAGCTTGCACAGGGTTTATGTTTATTGTAGGGTAAGATGTGGCAAACAGATAATGTTTCGTAACTTCACCACCTGTTAGTTTCTTGGCTTAAATAAACCAAGTCACAAGAGCTTAAGTGGAAGCACATGTATCTTTCTGTCTTGTTCAAGGATATGGCTGAGTGTCCAAGTGTCTTCAAAAAATATTAGTAACCTCAGTTCAAGTTGACACAAGCAGCCTGATAAGCTTGTTTACTGTCYCTTCTGTTAGAATTACTCTTTTCCATGGGTGGTGAATGTAACGATTCSTTTGATGTGGTGTTAAATGGACTCTTTGTGATGCAAAAGGGGCTCTCAGTGACTTAAAATTTCTTTTTATACCTCTGTCCTTAAATACTTAAGAAATATGGTATTACGTTTATTAGAATTGTACTTGGTTGGTGACCAATACAAAATGCTTGCTTATGCTCCTCCATATGGAGAGCTCAGGTAATGATGTGTATTTAAATGCACAGAGCCAGCTTAAGTATGCTTCAAATGCACTTCTGGCTAGTCACTTCATAAATTAGGTGAGTGTTAAAAACCCAACTTACGGTTTTGTTTTATGTTTTCTTTCTCTTCCCAATGCCCTTCCTATTCGTCACTTTTTTTTTTTTTTCATTTCTCCTTCCCGTAGTAGGAAGTTAATTTCATTGACATGTTGGGTTTTTATGATTGTGGTGTTCATGTCTTAAACGTGGCAACTGAACATTTCCCTCTGCTAATACTCCTATTCAATCAACTGAGCTCTTTTTTTCTGAAAAAGAAAACTAAGCTGTTTCAAAGTCTATCACTTATTTTAAACTATGTTTTRCTATGATTCTAGTTGACAGTGTCCCTTCTGATTGCAAATGTTTCYTTGTTGACCACTTAAGTACATCCTGAAGCTATTCTAAAAATTTTTTAAAAACCCAACATACCCCTTCCACGAAATCTTGAATTTGGAGAATAGAGGACACTTTTTACCATTGCATTTTTCATCTGTTCTCAAAGTGTATTAAAAGGTTGGTGCAGTCTTTAGAGTTATGTATAAAGTTCAGTATGAAATAGTAGTGAATCTGCACAAGAAGTTTTTCATGATTTATAAAGATTCACTGGCTGGGAAGGAGTTGCATATATAAAGGACTTCTCTTTGGAAATCCAGATGCAAGACAGGATTATGACTGTRAAATGAAAATTATACTGAGTATATTACTTTTCTAAAATAATATTTTATGATAAAATACAACCATGAGATTAACATGTATGTACGCTTGTGTGCTCAGACAATGGTATGACCAATTTTTAAAACTAAAGGACTAAGTAAACAAGCCAGAAAGCAAATTTTGTGAGTTGGAGAAAATGGGAAAGTGTGTACTCATCCATTCAGAATGTTTATTTCTTAAACTGTTAACTTGTGGGTTTTTTGCTTTTGTTAAGCACCAGATCTATTTAGACAATCTTATGCCCACCTCCCAAAAAACTCCATGCTGTATGTCTAGCATAGAAATCAACAAGCTGGCATAAAACAGGACATCAGTGACCTGATAATCAAACAGGTTTGACCCTTGTGTCCTTATCAACTTTTATATAAGTGTGATGCACATGTACTTAGGAATCACTGTTATGGATTTTAATAGCATCTATGTAGCTTCCCCTCAATGGCCTCTTGTGACAGAGTGAGCTGCACTATCGTTCGTTTGGAAAGTGTGATTCTTGCTGTGTTTACCACACTTGTGAACTCTATTTAAACTCCTTTGTCGCCTGTGTTGGTTTTTTTCTTATTTTTAATAAGGGTGACTGAGGTTGCAGAGAAATTAATGTGTGCTGAGTCTGCATAGCAACTTAAGTAGGGTTGCCACAATACGCTCTTTCCACACCTCCCTGGGAAGACTTGACATAAAGTCAGGGTTCAAACCATTTTGTTGCCTTATTGGCTGTTGTCAAACTCATTATAGTGATGCTGTCAAACTGCTCAGTTACTAATAATAAAAGTATTGCGGGAAATAATTTTACCAAGAGTCGAGTAGTTATGAGAGAAGCAAGGTAATAAAAATTACTTATAGGGGATTTGAAAAACAAGTACTGCAATTTTCCAGATGGAATAATCAAGCTTAGTCCTTYGTAGTAGTCTTAAAACTGACATCAGTAATACTGGTCCTTCTAAAGATTTTAAGGGCATTAAAGATAATATCCTCAAGGAACACTGAACACTGACTTAACGCACTACAAAGCTGTGCTTTGGAGCGATGCATCTCTTCGGGCCAGCAAACTGATAATTGATCCATTGAGTCAAGTTATTGTGGCAACCCTATGCACATAACAACAACTAAATTGAGTTTGTTTTAGTTCGGAATACGGATACGATGCTTAGGTGCTGACTCGCGTACCAACGCTAACTCCCTCTCCCATCTTTCAACAGGATACCCGCTCACTATGTCTATCCACAGGCTTTTGTGCAGCCCGGAGTGGTAATTCCCCACATGCAGCCCGCAGCGGCCGCCGCTTCCACCACGCCCTACATCGACTACACCGGAGCAGCGTACGCGCAGTACTCGGCAGCRGCGGCGGCCTACGAGCAGTACCCGTACGCCGCCTCTCCGGCCGCTGCCGCGGGTTACGTGGCTGCCGGGGGCTACGGCTACGCCGTGCAGCAGCCCCTGACCGCAGCGGCGCCCGGCACGGCCGCGGCGGCTGCAGCGGCTTTCGGCCAGTACCAGCCCCAACAGCTGCAGACAGACCGCATGCAATAGCAGATGGACTCCCGAAGGAACCTCGTGCTCTCTCGTCCTCTCCTCRGCCTTCCAGTATAAGTAGTTAACAGAGACAATCGATAGTAACTAAGGAGCTTTAAGGAAAGCRATGATGCTATTGCGAAATTATTTTTATTCCACTGTCTTCATACAGTATGCATCCAAATCATGTTGTGAGAGGGGAAGGGTAGTGCGGCATGTCTAGTTTCAAGTATCGAGCCAGAAGAAAATGGGGGGAAAAATGCAGTACTGTCATGAAAGAGTGGCAGGAGTAGCAATGGGACTTCATATTTTCAAACAAACAAAAAAGAACCAAAAAAAAAAAAA